TAAGTTACTTGACAATTATACAATAGGAAGTACACATATCATATTGGTCCATAAATAGTCCTTAAAGTTACCATCCATAAATCGCTTTGGGATATAACAATCTTCGAACCTTTTCATTATTCAATTCTAGTTCAACTGGTCTTAAGGCTTCTCGCAATAGACGTTTTGGGTCGCAGTTTTGTCAGGCACTGTATTGTACTGGCCTGCTTTTATGACGAGAAAGTGATTGGTATAATGGGAACTATTATTATGACCAATTGTATCAGTGATTGTTTTACTGTGCCTGTTTTTACAAGTGTACAAAACAAATACATTCTTCTGTTGCCTGTGATATCTTATTCTCAAATAACAGTTTGTTACATGAGGCATGCCGGTTTACAGGCAAGATCAAATTGTTAAAGAAGTTACAATTTTCTGTGTTCAGAATTACTCAGCTGGGTTGATATTTCATAATATATGAATGTAAATGGATTTCGTAAGGAACATGTCAATATCACACTTGGCGCACTTTATGGAGGTAGTGTTGCAACATACAACTGATGGTCGAGAATAGATACATGCGAAGTTGGGGGCTTTTAGAAGTTTTGAACTTATATCCCTCCAAAATATCGGAAGCTTTAATAACGGTGTGGGACGAAATCACCCGTGCCATATCTGTTTTCGATGGAGTTTCTGCAGGAGGCTGAAAAAAGTGCAAGAAAAAGGAAGGACGAAAAGCAGAGCACACAATATTCATGGAGGAATAGTTAAGGTATAACCATTTAGTCTATTTGTCTGTTACTGAAGTACTTATTAGGTAAGAACATACTAATGTGTTAAAGAAAAATAAGTGTGGGCAAGGTATGAATGGATAAGGAACTGTATGAATGAAGGTAGTTCAGAAGGAAGTATGGAATTGTGTAATTATAAAATAAAGTGCTGAAAACAGTATTCCGATACTAATGACTGTCTCCCTTTACTTTAGAATTTGTTTCAACTCTCTTTTTTGTTTTTAGATTTTATAGGGTATAGAGTGGGCTTCGTTTTCAGCCAATTGTCTAGTTTGCTTGTATTAGGATTACTCAGTAGGAATTGGAACCAATTCAACTTTTTTTAAACATGATTCAAAGTGGTATTTTACATGAATAATTTTGCATCAATACCGTTGGTTTATCCAGGAGTCCTTCAAAATATCCCACTAACTTGTAGAAGATTTACCACCTTTTTCCTTAGCTAGCCTGTTTTACGCTTTAGCTCTGCTAGTTTCTTCGTTGCATCATATAGTTATGTTGTATTGAACGAAGACTCAAGCATGGCAAACCAACAATTTATGATACGCAGGATCACAGTGCCTTTGTAAAATATGAAAACCGTACTTTAGATACATCTTTTGCACATCGTTAATGAGTTGTTCTTTACATACTCTATCATTCCAATTCTCTTGTTATTCCAATATTTAAATAAAGAGATCCAATTGCATGAAATTCCAATATTTCCCTGTTTTAACTCCTCCTCTGATTAATTTAGTCTTCTTCTGGTCCTCAATCCACTTGCAACTCCTCCTACACACTACTTATGTCTGTCTGTATAAGTAGCGCACTCCAGTCTCATAATCTCATTCCCCGCATCTATTTCAGCTATCATCGCTTGATCCTCCACATGTCTGGTTGTCAGCTCTCATGCTCCTTTCTGGTTATTTCCCGATCTGTTATGCCGTTTGTTCAGTTTTTAAAAAATCAGATTCATCCTGGCCACAATTAGCTGTTGGTATGTAGCGATATCAGTCCCACTCTTTATTTTCACGTCTTCTATAAACTTTATGAACATATTTTTGAACCGTGCAATGAAAATTGTTTCATATGTCTTTCTTCCTGTACTGCATCCTTATATACAATCTTTCTTTTATATATTACCGTTACCAAATTGACTATTTCTATGAATCTTGTTGTACTAATGAGGTATGGCAACTTGGACCGATGCATATATATACCTCGTCCTACGTAGCAGCTGACTGATTTTTGAAGCGTATTTTCTGTTGTAAGGTCCAAAGAAAGTCTCACATTCCCTCATTCTGAGGGAATATTGTGCTACCTATAAAGATTTTGCAGAGAGAATATAAGTTTGAAAACAGCTGGCTATTTATTCTTCGTCCAAATTTTCTCATGATATCTTAACACACGTTGATGTCTATTCCTAACTTGCCATTTAGCTTCCGATTATCAAAGCCTTCCCAAAATATCTCTCTACGATCGACCACTGCCTCTCATAAAACTGATTTTTATCGTTTCCGCCGCGACCAATAGTGGCTACACAGCACAAGTTAACATTCATCCTAATGCCCTCGTACTTTATTTCGAAGGAGGATTTGATCATCCTAAGTCTATTAGATTCCTGTAGATCGCCAATGTGGGTGACCTGTACCGACGACTGTGGCCTACTCGTATTGGACAGGAATGGCATGACCAACGTTTTTTTTATATCTTGCTAAACAACAAAGAATGTCGCATCCTATTCATACAATCATTTATAAAATTGATTTTAATTAACATAATGTGAACTAATCAACAAACGTATGCATATAATACAGATGGTAAGTGCTCATTACAACTAAATGATTTTTATAACTGAATTAAAATAAATCGCACAAGTATTGGTGACACTTACTAACAAAAGAAATTATTAGAATGTTTTTTTAAATACGCGTGATGTTAAAGATAAATCAAAGGCCATTCCAAAACACAATTATATAAACGAAGAATATTCTTTTCAAAAATTTTTCTCATCAGGTCCTACAATCATATATTCAAATTAATAATCCATAAAAAATTGGCCAAGTTTAAGGCTGAGTACACCATTTGAAATTATAACGTGTCAATCAAGGATTTTTTTGTCATATAAAATAAAATCGTTAGTGTTTGGGTGACTAATATGAAATGTTAATTTGAATAAGCTTATACCCTCAAATAGAATTGTGAGACAAATGATAAGGATAAATATGGTTAACATGGGGTGAGAAAGATAATAGTGTAATTGCAAATCAGAAATTACGTAATATGTAGAATAATATGAATTAGGCAAGAATTAGTAGATAGGGATGGATGTTGATTAAATGTCTCAAAAAGGTTAGCAAATGTAGTAATAATAATAATAATAACGACAATGGTAAGATGTGTGGATAAGTTTTATGGATTATTAATTTGAATATATAATCGTAGAACTTAATGAGAAATTATTGGAAAGCATATTCATAGTTTATATAATTGTGTTTTAAGATGAGAATTTCTCAGGGATTAAAGTTCATTTCATTGAACTGACAGTATTGTAAAGAAAATATTCCTTCATTACAAACCACCAAGTAATAGAAATCTCACTGACTAAAATAAAGAACTAGCTAACCAATTACCATCAGAAAATATAATGCAATCATATGAAAAAATTGGTATGATATAAAAATAATTTTGCAGATATCGACCGATTGGGTTGTAAGAGAATGTTGGATAAATTTAATAACTGTCATCATGTGAGAAACAGAATTCCAAGAATAATCGAGTAGTAGAAATAAAACGTAATTGTTAGGTAAAGAATTTGAGAAATGGTGAAAAGGCACGATAAGTCATTATAATAATGAATAAGAAATATTATGAATCTAAGATAGTTACAAGATCAACGTGAATTTCTCCATACACTGGTATTCAACCAAATTAATTAGCATTGTCCCAGTTATATAGCTGCGTTGAAATAAATGGCTAACTGCCATTATATGTTATCCATGCGACCTGTAGATAACGCTATCCTGTTGATGTACAATTTATAAAGTAATTTCAGAAGTGTTTACCATTTGAATAATGAGAAGATATGAAATAGAATTAGTTTTAATTTGGAAAAATGTTTTAAATACATTTAGTTACAGTACTCTGTATATAGAAATAAAACAGATTATTTCTCCGATTCTTTTCATTCCACTAAATACTTCAGTGTTTCGAAAACAAGACATTCAAAACAATCATTCTGACCAACTGATTGCGCACTTACAGATGCTTTGTCGGAGCTACTTAACACCGTGATACAATCCATATTAGTTTAATCACTCTTGAGTTTGAAAAAATCTGTATCACTTTCCTGACATATAAATAAGATATCTGAATCTCACTGACAATAAGATCTTGGTGGTATACCACTCAGTAAGCTACTTTGTTTTCTTAATATTCCCAATTCAGTCAGATACTAATTGTTCAGTAAAAATAACTTCAATCTGGTTACTGGTTCAACAACCTTTGCGGATATTTAAACAGTTAACTCTATATTACTTGTTAGAATGTTTCCACAACTAAGTTGTTTCATTTGTCGCTATTGCTGCAACTCGTATATTGATAAACTTACGAAAATTATACATAAATCTAAACTGAAAGTCTATGCTTGCGCAAACTTCCATCATTAGTATGGATGAAATTAAATAAATAAGCTAATGATTTTGCATATTTGTTCTTGCACTAAGTGGATATGATATCTGCTTATTGCAATGTTTTTCTTGTATTATAACATTAATATCAGTGTTATGAGGTAAGAATATGGAAGAAATTCACAAATAATTGGCTTGAAAAAAGTCTGTAGTAGTTGGGAAAATACACAGTATTGATGGGATTATACTCATCAAACTGAAATGAAGGTCACACAGAGCCACGAATCAAGACTAAAAAATATCACAGGGATTCACCGATTTGAAAATAAAGTGTCCACTTTTCTTAAAACGATATAGATTTTACAATAAAACGAAGCATACAGTTGCCGGTAAGTTTATATCGATTGTCGATGAAATTTTAATTATTTTATACATCTTAACTGTTAATTAAAATTATAATGTGACTCGCTTATGAGTTTCAATACTTGCCTTTTATGATAAACTGTTTGTGAAGGCGATTAAAACTAATTGGATATGTAAACCGTAGTAGATGAGCGGAGTTCAAACTTAGAGCTAAACGGTTAGTTAGTGAACCAACACTATTTAAAATATTAACAATATTAAGAAAGCAATACAACTTGTTTTATTGAAATGAAATAAATTGAAAGAGAAAAAAATCGTCTTACAACACATTCCCAAAAGATACACACCCACATCTTACAGAATGAAAAAAATGTAGCATAAAAGAAGGTAAGCGAATAGGAAAGAACAGTTAGCAAATAAATGAAGCAAAATTCTCAAAACAAAGAACTAACCGTTTAAACCATGAGAAAATAACAATACAATACACCAAAGATAGGTAATAAGAAAGTATAAACAGAAAGAAGGTTGATGCACTTTCACATCCCCTCTGGAGAGAGAAAGAGAAAAAGATAGGTGACCAAAAAACAAAAACAGACAACACAATTTAGGATAGTATTATTAGGATTTTAGTGTTTCAAGTGTAAAGTAATGTCGGACAAAAAAATCAAACTCATTTTGATCATCAACAAGAAAAAGGGAATACAATGAACATAATATTTGTATCATAAAGACAGGACCACGAAAATGATACAGGCCTTAACCATTGAGAACTTACGAACATCAATAAATAAATATACTAAAGAATAAAATACAGGGAAAAGGCATAAAACAAAAGGCAAGAAAAAGCCGAGACAATTCAGCCTATAACAATACACATAACCGCTTGTATATATTGCATGGGATTAATGAGTAAACCCCGGTATTATTCCCTCTACAAAACACATGTTTTAAATGAATACAGAACTAACGAAATATGGAACATAAACCGACAGATGAAGAGAATGCATATATATATATATACTTATCAAATAAGTTACTTCAAGGCGAATTCATCAGCTGTAAAATATAGTGAATGGAGTTATTTGAACAGCTTGTCTCATACGGATAGATGTACTCAAAGTTTACTGCGTTTGCAGTCAGGTTCATCCAAACTACCCGGTCCAAGAACTCCAGCTCCTCCTCCACCCATCCAAGTGTCATGATCAGGTGGACAGGACATTTGAGGAACAGGTCTCTGAAGGCTCATAGAATCATCGTATTCATAGCCAGGATGACCATATCCAACAGAATGCTAATAAAGCGAAAAACAAAAGTAGTGATACATGAATAAGGTATAAATCACTATGTGAAAAAGGAGTTTAGATTTAATTAATTCTAAGTGAATAGTTGAGTTTAAAACGTCCAACCCATTTATTTATCGCAATATATAAACATTACTTTTAAAATTGAGAAGCTACAACATTCAGGATGCTTATGGTTAGAAAAGCTGTCCTACATTTAAGACATTAGGGGACAGATTATCAACAACTACACACATTCACTAAATCTTCGTGCAAAATACTTTGAAAGCAACAGTATGTTATACAAACAAACTATTCTAAGTTTGAAACAGTCATATTTAGGTTTTAGTGTAAAAATCCATGAAGCATTTCTGACTATCTAATGCCTACTGAGTAATTTAAAGAGTTGTTGGATTTGATGAGAACGAGTCTTTTGTGTGGCTGTGAAAGAGGAATCATACCGTATCAATGAAAAAAGCGAGATGGACAATAGTTGTTACAGACATTGTGTTGGCTAAGTGAACAAATAAGGACTATGTCTCCCGGAGTCCCTTCGTAATTAACAACCAGGCAAATTTAGTGATAAATGAAATGATGAAAAGCTGGCCATCTTTTGCCATACATTCGTTTGCGCAGACATGAATGCGATCATTGAAATCACAGTCCATTAGTAGCATTGCGCTCATCAATTAGTGTATGTACAGATAAAGCTCTAAGGTATCGTATAAAAACTATTGATGGTGATATAGATGATTCATAAGAAAACTAATATGCCCCTATATGGACGAGTTCCTTTAAGTAATATTTTCCAGTTAAAAAATGACACCAGACTTGAAAAATTTATAAACAACCCAAAAACCCTGTTATTAATTCAGTTCCATAACTTTCGAAACGATTACTTCCTCACTTAATCCATCAGTTCACTAACTGACTAAAAAAGTGGGAGATAAAGGTCCCGTAGCCATCGTGAAAATCCCTCAATTTCGGAAGCATTGTATCGTGGCACATAGCTTCGAAGTGAAAATCCCATAAAGATTTATTATAAATAGGAAAGTAAGAATTGAATGCAACGAATTATTACAAAATATCAAAAATAAATGCTAACTTCATCAGATGATGTTGGACCACCAGTTCCAGAAGCCACAGACCCAGCGGCAGCAGCTGCCGCGGCTGTTGCCGCAGCATACATATTTGCTTCCTCTTGAGCCTTTACAATGTTCTTTTTGTACCGAATACGTTTGTTTCCAAACCAATTAGAGACCTGTGAAATGGTAAACAATCCAATGGTTAATTGGATTCATAACTGTTATTTTAACAAGCGGATTTTTATACCCGATCAGTCTTTGATACAATTATCATCAAAATGACGATGGAAATGGGGAAATTCAAGTATGATATATCATATTAATCAACTCGGAACAGCGAAAGTAAACGGAACTAACAACTGATAATTTTAGAGTTCTGATGATGCTACCAATAATATAAATAAAATGATGTGTCACAGGTTAACCAGCACTAGTGTAACTTTGTGCGAATACGACTTTAACCGATAGATCAAAATTCTAAATAACTTGTTCAAATTTATTTTTTAGAATTGACGGTGATTATTTACCAAGATGTGATTAACGAAGGCTATAATTCATAAATTGTTTGTGTTAATTTGAAAAATGCGAAACTTATCATACCCTAACATAACTATTATTTTAGTAGTTTAAAGATCCACATCATATTAAAAGACTAATATTTGAAAGAAGAACATTCTTTTTCATAAATTCTCTTCAGGTTCTACAATTACATATCCAAATTACTTTGCTCTTAACCTGGCCATTTTTTCGGAATATTAATTTGGATATATAACTGTAGAACCTGAGAAGAATTTATCGAAAAGAAATGTGTATGCCCCAAGCAAAATGTACACTCTTGTTTTAGAGGTCAAAGTCACAGGTTTGTGCTGACAATATAACCTTACGTTTACGAAACAAAACCAGACGATACACGTTATTTAAATACAATGAAAACTGACTTTACTTTCTATCTTGAAAGATGACGTCCAATGAAAAATGTGAATAATGTTTGAAGTGTAGATGTATTAGTATGTACAAATTAATGCTTTGAAATAAACTGTTTGTGTGAAGGTTAGTGATACTAGATGACCGTCTAAACCGAAATGGATTAAACGAGGTTCGAACTTGGGACCTATTGGGTGAAATTCAGTTGCTTTCCCAACCACCGAGCCATAGTTCAGAAGCATGAACTGCGGGTTTTCCCTAATAATGTTATTTCAGAAAAGATTTCGGATATGTAGGAATGACTTTACAAAATCTATTATATCAACTGACATTCTAAAGATTACTGATAAGAATTAAGGTTGAATGAATGAATATAGTAATACAAAAATTCGAGTCATTAAGAATGCAAGCAAATAGTTTTTATCACTTTGTGATAATCAAGTGGATTGAAACGTCATAATTATAACAAATCTAAACGTCATCGATACTGGTTAGCAAAATCTTTATTAATTCACTAAGTTTCGGAAAAATATTATCTTCAAACTTTGAATTCTGAGGAAACTGACTTGTGAAACAGTTATTCCACATTTTTTGGCTAATTCCTCTTTTGCTTCTTCTGAAGGATATGGATTAGCCAAATGAGAGTAGAAATACTCATTCAGTACTTCAGTAGCTTCTTTACTGAAATTTCGACGCTTACGTCTAAAAGGGAAGAATATTCAACAGAATAATGAGTTTTTTTAGTCACACCACTGTAATATAGTCATTGATTAAACAATAAAGAAAATACTATCGCTCTGCAATCTAGAAACATTTAAAAGAGCACAACTAGGCACAGAAACGTCTAATCAAATACTTCATTACGTAACTTTTGACACAAGGAAATGGAAATAAATGGTCTAATTTGAAAACCATCTATCGAAAACCAATTCTTCTGAAGAGCGAAACATCAATCAAAAAAAGAAGTGGCTTACATTGAGTCACGAAACGTCAGAAAATCTAATTTTCCTACTCATTGGGATATTACAAATATATTATTTATTTATATCAATCAAAATTGCTTTATGACGAACACCAGATGCTAAGACTAACTGACAAAGGTATCAAAAAATCATAAATTTATAAACAAACCACTCTTTCACTATTTTAATTCATACAATCTAATGAGTCCCATCTTCTCATTATACTAGCCAAACAGTTTAACTATTGATGTTTAGTATTTTAAGTTTCTAGTACAATAAAACCTTATTTACAGGAAACTATGGAGCGCATCTAATAAAACTTATGTACGCCTGTTACCCCTTATGGAGGAGCATAAGCCACACCTACCAGGATTTTCCTTCGAAATAATAAAAGTTAGGAATGCTCACAATTAATTTTTTAGATATTGATTAAAAACACATCAGGTCCTATTATCCATCCGTAAACTTACCTAGCGTCCAAAAATCGAGATCGCAATATCATAACTGCTTCACAAGTACTTTGTTTCAATTGTGTTTCAATTGCTCGAAACTTCCTCCGAATTATACCAACCATAAGTTCAATTTCTGCTGGGCTTATAGGTCGACTACGACTTTGTTCACGTAATAAATTTATAACATGTCCTGTGAATTCATCACACGCCTACCATCAAAGGTAACAACAGAATGGAAAAAAATTAAAAGCTTAGGTTTTATGCAAAGCAGAATATATTACAAAATTATTAGGGCGAATAATAAGTTGTGTTTCAATTGTCCAATGATTTATCAATGTATCCTTAGTGTTGCAAGGCTTTTGAATGACTGATTTTATTGTAAATCATATTCAATCCAAAGTTATCAATGAATAAAGCAGCATGACTCAAACTGGAAAAATTGAGTTCACACTACATATAGGTCATTTCATTTCAAAATAAAAATATGGAAACAATTCACCAAGTTACTACTATTTCTCTAGACAAGATTAAAATTCATTTTAAGCTATGAATTGAAATATCTAGATTATTTGGAAGGTGCTTTTCATTAAAATTCTACTCTAGTTACACAACGAGCGAAAACGAGGTGCACTAAACAGCTGTCTTGTTCCATACCAGTGACATTGAAGTAGTTTGTACTGTTGAGGATGCTAAATCCCCAGAACTCACTTGGTAAATGACTCATTTTTGTAATTTTATTTTGAAAATTTGAATTTCGTTTTCGCGCCAAAAGCGCTCCTTTCACCTTCGAGTGGTATTTTCCACTTGGAAATATCTTAAACGCTATTGGTTCGTTGTATCTTTTAGTGTGCTATTTTGTAATGCTTCCCAAGGACAATTTTATACTGTATATATACGTTTGATTTCTTCCTATTGTGATTGCTGTGTTTCTGGCTGCTTACGGAATATATCTTCCCAACTTCTAAATTGGACTTTTTACTCTAGTTAGCTGGGTCTAGGATGCGTCAGAATAGCTAGCTTATTGGTCTCTAGTCACAAGTCTTTGTTCCGTTCGCTGACTAAGTGAATTTGAAACCGCTTCAGATATAACATGTACACAGAACCGTCAAACGTTCCAGAGCCCATAAGCGTTAGAAAGAGATTGGATCCTATTTTAAGAAAAAAATCAACCTTTACTAACCTACAGAGAACGACTTAAGCTACAATGGTGTTAGTATTACTGGGAAATACCTAATAAGTCCAGATTACACAAACACCTAGATAACTTGGCATGGCCCTGTCTACACAAATTATTGACAAATATCGAGGATCATCTTGAAAGCCTAGTTGAAATTGAAATGCAACTATTGGACGACTTATTTGCTAATTGGGATATAAACTCGTGTAGGTTAGAGAAAAGCATGAAACAGTTATAAGTAAGGCGTAACTATTTTTTATAGAATCAACATTTAGCGTGGAGAAATATGAGCTACTTAAAGTTATTTACCATCGTCTTCAGTCAAGGTGCACACTGGTTAGAACGAACACAATGTATAAGTTTGGTTCCAGTACAGGGAGTGTGATCCAAACTAAGGTTTTTGAAATCTTAAAATTGGATAATTTTAGTATGATATCAGCATTACTATCTAACCTTCTGATATTATTTTGCGCTCAAAACTAACAGATTTCAATGTCAGATAACATAGATTTGATATGATAGGAATTTTTCGGATTTATAGCTTAGAATGACAATAATAATTGTAGAGTGTTTAGTGAGATTTAATATAAATTTGGTGTTTCAAAATAAACACACAACTACGATCTTTTACAAGGATCGATCTCTACCAACTTGGTTTTACATGGTTACGCTTGAATGTTACGAAGGGCAACAGCTTATCAGGTTTGTACGGAACATGAGACATATTTACACTTATCTAATTAAAAGGAGTGAAGTGCTAAGGTAAAATATAGTGTCTGGGTCTAAGATGGGCTTTTTATTCGTTGTATTTTTCCAGTTCTGTTTTACATATGTGGTTTGTTGACCAGAAGAAACACGTTGAGGATAGTTCAGGGGAAAATTGATAGTGCCTACAGTCAGTACTTCGTGACACAACAGAAAAAGCTTCATTTATGTTTAATAAGATGACTTATCAGAAAATAGAATAAATGTGAGGGGAACCTCGTATACTAATCATAATTATTTTTAGTTGATCATTAGTTTACGCAGGATAAATTAGAATGCAATTGATAATCTTAAAAGTAGAGCAGTACTGAAAAAGCTTACATTTTTATATTTCTCCAATTCTGCATGATATATCTGGCGAATCTGAGACAATTTGGCGCGATAATCAGCATGTTCAATTTGATTACAATCACCGGGTCCCCCACCCAAATCTCCAGGACCATCACTTAGATCATTATTCAGACTACCACCAGGTCCAGTTACACCTTCAGCAACTAACATTTTATCCAAGCGTAAAAGCTGCGGATCTGGTGAATTAGCTTCATCTTCTACAGCAGAAACAGCTGAGTTTCTCAAACTTAGAGCTATACATAATTGTGAGAAGTAAACAATACAAAAAAGTTGTGACATTAAAACTATAGGCTGCTACTTTTGTCTACTATATAGAACAATATATCAAGAGTTTCTGTTCAAAAAAGATTTAACTTAGTTCGTTTTAATCCTATATCTGATGAGGATAACATTTTCCTGAAGTCACAAAATAGTGCAAATTTAAGAAATGATATTTAATAAGTTGGTTATTATGATATGCTAACACTTGCATTTAACATACAATGCTGGTATATCGTATAACATGACTTCCTGTTTGGTTTGCATAACTCATCAATACTCGATGACCAGTGGTCAACTAATTGAATACGCATAACATTCTTTATTTTGAAAATGTTCGATATTGAGCTAATGATAAATGCTACTTGGGAACTCGATAATGAACTTACGTGTCTTTACCCGAAAATCTATTAGCACTTACCACTTCCGGATTTTATCATTACTATGTACTATACTAGAGCCGTATATATAGTTTTGATAAACTTCGTCATCTCAGTATATCATCTAACTTTCTCAGAAAGACTAACAGTTTTATATATAAGAAATTTTGTCATAGAAATATAAAAATATTCCGTAACTATATAGTAATAACTGTGTGCAAACCTACCTGTTTTCTCCTTGATTTCACAGAACACACTGTATAGAGCAGGCTTTAATCTATGACTATTTAATGACTGTTTTCTATAAATCAACAAAGCAGAGATGACAAATACAAACAATCAATGAATATTACATATATGAGATAACGAGCGAAATGAGATTAAAAAAATAGATATTTGCAAGTGAGTGTGTAAAATCATAAGTTACAAATGAACTGAACAATAAATTTCCCATTTAAAATAAATAATTACATAAAGGCTTAAATGGGTCGCTATTGAGTTTTATATTATTTTTCTATTCCTGTACAAGATGGAACAAAACAACGCTCTAATTTTAACAAGTTCATTTAAGAAACATATGCTTTATTGAGCCAACGCATTTAAAGAAAGTTATCTTTATAGTGACTCCACGCAATAATTCCGATTATTCTAATGCTAGTTCCAGACAGTTGTAATGTTATCCAGTACTGATTAGCAAAGACACATTTAAAGTTAAAACAAAAATGCATCCAAAGGACCGTAACTGATGTTGAGAAATGACTTCATCTACTAAGTAATATGTGTCTACTCATTAAACAACAAAATAATGTACATTATATTACTAACAGATAAAAGCAATTCTGTTGAGTAGGAAGTGATTAAACATACAGTTATCACATTAATTTAGTAGCCTTACGAGTATTGCAAAAACTGTACTTATCAAGGCGTTTTACTACCAACTTTAGATAAATGTAGAGAGTATTTGTTTTGGAAATAATGTTTAAATAAAAAATGAAAGTATTTCAACAAATCAAGCTGTTAAAGAATCATTTAATTGTTATATCCTTACGAATAATAAATGAATGGCGACAGCTAGAAACTATTGATAGACTAATATGTCTATTCATATTCCTTTTATTATAAGCTTCCATTTAACCTAGTGAATACTATTATATGATTTACTATTCTTAAGTTATTTCCAATTTATTAGTTACAGTCTCTCACATTCACGGCCGCCTTTTTGCTTGATCTCGTACGACTGTTGTTTTTTTATTTTATGGTATGGTGTGATGTGGTCTGGTTTGTTTGTATGTAAACCAAGTATGTCTGAAATATATGATTCATACAATGGAAACTGATATTGGTTTTCTGGACTCAAGAGGCAGGGTTAGATGAGAAGGATCAATAAGGAATCTAGGCTTCTCGTACCGGTCAACCAACTACCTTGATGGGAGATGTTTGCTAGTGTAAGAGTGAGCTGGAAGAAAGCTAAGGGCGACTAAACGAAAACATAGCATCAGTCCATGAAGTCGCTGGCAATTTGACTTTACCATGTTAATAGGTATAGACTAACTGATTGGGGTCCGTGTGATTATCGTCACCAATGGTTAGACTTTGAATGACATGGCTCGAAATCGTTTGCGATGGCGCAGGTCCATTCATTATTCGTCATCCCCCAATTTCTGAGATTCCAAATTCCTCGTCACTTTTACTTCACTAATTTATAGTCTTTCTTATTACCACTACCTCTACTATTGTGGGATTTAGTCTGACAATTTCATCTGCGTGCTAATTGGGTGTGGCAACTCGAACAGATGTACATACGTACCACGTCCTATGTTGACTGACAGATGACCTACAAACTTATTTGAAGAACAATTAATTGTAATGAAGACTCCTATACTTTCTCTATCAAATTATTCTACCTGTCAGATACAAACAAGTCTGTTTAATCAGACGTTGAAAACCTGAATAGTATGGTCATAAATGGATGTGTAACCGCCTTTGTTCGTCCAACCAGAGCTGTCAGTGAGGAATTGATTGAATCCAGTAAAAACAGTGTAAGTTATTCTACAGCCCGGATAGGTGTATGTAGGTAAAGTGATGATCGTCAATAAGGCGACGACGTCAAATCAAATCATTAAATATTTCATTATGTTTAATACATTATATTATAGTAGCACGAAAAAATATTAAACTATAGTAGATATAAAGTATTCCTGAACGTAGGAAATTTCTTCATAGTAGCTTAAAGAGAGTGATCCTATAAATGAAGCTGCTGTAACATTATAACTTTAAAAAATGATCCTTGAAATGAGCTTAGATACCTTTCCTGAGCTTCATCTAAACTTTGGTGAGCAACACTAAGAAGCTGTTGAAGTTCTCTCCCTGTCAACTGTGCACGCTGCTCCGTCAAGAGTGTGTTTTCCGAATCCATACCACCAGAACTCTGATCAAATCCAGAAAGATATTCATTTGATAACAGACCATGAGGTGTAAGTTGGTGTAAAGGAGCCGCACTAACATCAAGACCAGGCTGATGCCAACTCATTGAAATGCACTAAGGAAATAAAAAGCATTAAGTTAACTTAGCTGAAAACCTTTTAACGAACTTGGGACAATGAATCACAAATTGTCACTATATTTTAAACTAGGTGGGTATTGAAATTAAGCTTTCAAAATTCAAATAGAAATATAATACAGAATGAAACGGCAAAACTTCATACTAAATGTATACGTTTAAGTAAGGTGACAAAACAAAGCTATACAGAAAATTACGCTGACTTTAAGTGATACATTGTCACTATTCTCTTGACATGGCTTAAAATCGATCACAATAGCGTAGGTTTATACATCCTTTTTCTTCCTTTAAACCGTGAAGTTAAAATTACTTTAAATCTTTTTTTCTACGAATTAATTCTTTCTCTATGTATCATATTCTTATATGCTATCTTATTTTATATATGCTACTATTGTGGTATGTGCTATTTGTACCGTTCACTACACTATCATTGAAGTAACCGCTTCTATGAATTTGGTGTTCATATTGTGCTAATGAGGTATGGTAACTTGAACCGATGCGCATATGTGCCTAGCCCTACGTTGTAGATGACTGACTGATTCCCTTTGTTTAAGGCATTGTACACATTGATGATGTTTCAAAGTAACAACTCGAATCCGGTTACAATGCGTTTTATCCTTTATCAATAGTATCGAGGCTTCAGTAAAAACATTCCGAGAAGTTATCACTGTGTTGTAATTATTGTAGTCACAAAAATAATTGACAGTCTTACTTTAATTCACCACCAATGAGTTAAACTGATTCTTTAGAAGATTATCGAACTAAATATACACCCTTCGGGTACTTCTGTAAAATGATTATTAGTCTTAACCAACGTCAAGTACACTTACATAAGGGGGTGAACGCAGGACATAAATAAAGGAATAGATTCTATAAAGTAACCACTTATAAATAAATAATATATTTGTGGCATCCCAATGAGAAGTGGCTTACATTGAGTCACGAAACGTCAAAGATCTAAGTTTTCTACCCATCGGGGTATTACAAATATATTATTTATTTATAACAATTTACACAATGTTCAATTTATTCGAAATTATCAAATCAAAACTTGATAATAATTCCTATATTTACCACTTATGTAAACCGAAGGACGGGTTTACTGTGCAACAGTTCGTTCCGTCCAACTCTATGGCAGTGAAACATGTTCGATAAGAGTATGGCGGCCTGCTTAAACATCTGGGCTACCTGTTCCTGTCATCTATATATTTCAACAAGTTATCTAATATTGTTTGTTTTAATACATCGTTATGGTTATTAAGCACACAACCTATTCGGGTGCGTTTCTGAAAACTGTACAACCTTTCGCTGGTAAAGGTTACAAAAGGCCTAATCAGAGATGTCATGTTTGCTGGGAACATGCAGCAAAAAGAATATACATTATTCATATGTCGATTGACTGAACTGCTGACATCCAACTGGCGATCACTGAATGTTTATCATCAGGAGAAACGAAGAAATAAGAAACGTAAACATGTTGAAATACTTTATGCTGAGGATTCGATTTTGTACCAAATAATATAATATTGAAAAAAGCTAATAATAATAATAATAATAATAATAATAATAATAATAATAATAGAGGATATTCGTAGGCTGCTGGTATTCGGTCATCGGTGTCTTCGAAGCATTGCTCGTATATCCTGGGACCACCGGGTAAGTAATGCAATTGTTAGGGAACGGGTACTAGGTAAGGATGGCAAATCGATTGATGAAGTAATGAAACTTCATCAGTTGAGATGGTTAGGACATGTGTTACGTATGCCCAACCACCGACGTGCGATGTTTTATGGTGTATGAGTAAATTGGAAGAAAGGTAGGGGCGGTCAGACCAAAACGTGGCACAAATCCATGAAGTCACTGACAAGTGGACTGAGCCATGTTGGTAGGTGTAGACTACCTGGTTGGGATCCACGAGATGATAGCAATCGATGGTTAAAGACCCTGAATGACATGGCTCAAAATCGTTTGCAATGGCGAAGGTGCATCCACTTTTTGTGTTCTGCCAAATTCTGATCTTCTGAATTATTCATGTCTCTATCTTTTTTCACTTCCCAAATTTATTTCACTGTATTATACTCCTTCAATCTTCAAACCCTAATCTTTCACATTAATGCTTATACTCTTACTACTTCTACCACTATGGGATTTGAAGCGACAACTGTATCTCTGTGCTAATGTGGTATGGCAACTCGAACTGATGTACGTACGTACGACATTCTACGTTGTGACTGACTGACTTATGTTTTGTGGACACGGTCTCAGATTAACTAGACTGTCAGTTCATTAGATAATTCTTTAAAAAAAGAATTCTTTCATCTGGAGAAGTCAGGAAGCATTAATGACTCCCATACTTCCAAGAGTATTCAGGTGGAGCCTATTCAATATTAGCACTCTCCTTCTGCTACCTATTAATTTCCTATTTGTTATTAAAGCTTTCATGTTAGCTTCCCATATATAGAATCAGTATTTATGAATCCAAATTATAAAATGGAACTTACAGTCACTCGAAACAAGCGGACAGACTAAGCCAGAAGGAAAGATACTCAAGGTTATTTAACAGGTGTGAATTTCATTTCAGGACAGATATGAATAACTCTAGTTTCCGCAAAATAAGCTATTTTTATCCAAGTAATCTATTCAATTCACTATTATTAAGTCAGTTTACACTCTAGTGCCCCCAAATACCCTGGTACGGTAGAGGGTGGGGAGAGTGCTTCCCCACTCGAAATGCTTCCACATGGCCACATGTATACAGCTACTCTCACGGAAGTCCTACTCACCGCCTCCTTCCACCAGGGTGTTGTTTACGAAATTGAGAGGACGAAAAGTGAATACCCGGAGCTTGAACCGGGCTGGTGGTCACAGAGAACTCACATAGGAGGATTGGAAAACCCTGATTCCAAGCCAATGTTGTACATGGGCTCCAGTATCCTGAGGGAACAAATGGCGTATGAACTAATTATTGGTCACCGGCTATCATGGGACTACATTTCCTGACGTTGCTTCACTGTCTTGTGGATTCGATCTTTGGGTCGAAGGCTCCGGTGTGGCCCCCTAAGAAACCACGTACTTCGGTCTGGACACAGGGGCAATATAACAGCCCACACACAAATTAAATGAAATGACAATTGCTACTAAAAATACTATTCTTGCTTCAATTAAAGTTCAGACAATTAACATTCATTTGATAAAATTCATTTTTATTTTTGGATACTACGTCACTTATCTACTCTTTTCTATCCTAACTTTGTGTATTCTTATTTTTCAACTCACACAGCAGCTCGCCTATGGCGGCAACCCTGTCACATCTAAATGATCTCGAGTCGCTGACTGGTTGAAAATTGAATGCAACTCTTGTTTGAGCTAATCTCACTATACGTTTCAGTTGCCAACAAATTCATTGTCGATCACAGGGGGTTTTGTGGAGAATTTAGTATTTTCGTAGATGAAATCATGGGTCAATTGAAGCTAGACCACCATCAAAAACCTGGAAGCACTGGACGTCCGTTTCGTCCTATTATGGGACTCCTCAGCAGTGCGAATCCACGATCCCGCACTCGCAAGATTCGAACCCAGGACCTACCAGTCTCGAGCCAACATCAACATAGTGATGTCAGTAAATTGGTTGCAGCCTCTGTCGCAACTAAATATCAAACAGAACTAGGCTCAAGGCTAGCTATCATCCCACCGAAAGACATAGATGAGCATTGGTTGCAACTGCATGACGCCATCAAATAGCGAAACGTCACGCTTATAAGCATTAGGCTTTTTCAGGCTTCTTACAACTCGTTGAAGCCCGTCGATTTACTCTGGGTGACCGTGAGTTTGACTATAAACAAAAATCGTTACACACTGAAATTGGACAGAGCTTGCGTAAGGACGGAGAAACTTGCGGGTCGGAGCAGGTCAATGAGTTGGAGGCAGCAGCTGCATATGGTAACTGCCGAGAGCTCTCTTAACTCATCCGAGCCAATGGCAGCAAGAAGTCTGGTGCGAGCGAAACAATCTGTGAGGATGGCGGGATCCCAATCACTAACATACATCGACGTCTTGGACGATGGGCAGGGTTTTTCGAGTGGCAGTTCAAATGGCCTACTGCTCCGGCAACATCGATCAGACTGTCCTGCCCTCTATGACCAGTGACAACTGCTCCATCAAATGAGGTGGAAGTCCGCAAGGAACTCCAACTCTTAAAGTGCTACAAATCACCGGGCCCAGATAACTTACCTCCGACTACTTTTAAAGATGGTGGTGACTTTCTGGTTAAGGAACTGACAACGTTGTTTACAAAGGCCTGGTAATTAGAGAGTGTTCTAACACCATGGAGTGAGTCGATAGTTGTCCCTATCTTTAAAAAGGGATCAAGTTGTTCCAGTAACAACTATCGGGGGATAAGTCTACTTTCAATTGCGTCCAAACTACTGACTTCTGGCATCAGTCAGTCACAACGTAGAACTTCGTACGTACGTACATCAGTTCGAGTTGCCATACCACATTAGCACAGAGATGCAGTTGTTGATTCAAATCCCATAGTGGTAGAAGTAGTAAGAGTATAATCAGAAATCCAAAAGATTAGGGTTTGAAGAAATTATTGAAGGAGTATAGTACAATGAAATAAATTTGGAAAGAGAAAAAGATAAAGACATGAAGAATTCAGAAGATTAGAATTTCGTAGAACACAAAAAGTGGATGCACCTTCGCCATTGCAAACGATTTTGAGCCATGTCATTCAAGGTCTTTAACCATCGGTTGCTGTCATCTCGCGAATCCCAACCAGGTAGTCTACACCTACCAACATGTCCCAGTCCACTTGTCAGTGACTTCATGGATTTGTGCCACGTTTTGGTCTGACCGCCCCTACCTTTCTTCCAATTTACTCATACACCATAAAACATCGCACGTCGGTGGTTGGGCATACGTAACACATGTCCCAGCCATCTCAACTGATGAAGTTTCACTACTTCATCAATCGATTT